TGCCCTTGCTTAGTCATGACGTATTAAAAAATTGTACATTAACTAAATATTCGACAGCTAGAAATTGCACAAAGCGAGACTCTGAGACGAATGACATCCTCATATATATATAGAGGATATATAGAATATGTAGAGGATAGAGCCCTGAAATTATTTACGAATTCTGACAGGCTTACCAACACTGCGTTATCGAATCTCAGAATGGTTACAGGCTTCTCGGGGAGACATGCAGATCTAAGGTCAGTTATGGCTTAGTCTGATGAAGTGATAAACAATAATCCAGTCAAGGCATGGAGAGGGGTTATGAAGATACAACGCAGTTAATAGAGATTAAAAGCACTTAAGTGCACTGGCTAAACTAGCCTCAACATAATAAGAAATATTCACCGATTATTCAAGCAAAATACTTATACAATGAGAGATTCCATTCTGTCAGTACTTCAATGTTTAACCTAGAATTTCTATAATTATTGATGCAACTAATTTAAAAGTTTTTGTTTTTTTTTATTTAATAAAATTATAAAATGCTCATCGACCAGTGCAGAAACGACAAATTTAAAAACTTTTGTATTATTCGCAAAACTGATAATTAATCGAAATTTTCCAACTAACCCAGTTTCTATTAAATTTATGTTAAGAAAATATTTCTTAGAAATAAGTTCCAATTATTAAACTCCTAATTTAAATACACAGAAGACAAAATGTTAAAGTTTCGAAATTTACAGGACAATTGAATTGTTAAAATATTCGTCCTAATAAATGGTATCTCAAAGATATTATTTAACAACTCTTTATAGAATATTGAAATCGTATAGTTTTACAAATTAACGTGCCAATGCCGAGTCAAGAAGATAATCTTCTTGGTTCGTAACTGGAATAAGGATTTTCTATTGGAACTGCCATAAGGAATTTGAGAATTTTCTCGAGAACAAAGCAAACGACAAACTACCATTGCTGAATTCGTTGTCGCTAATTAAAATTCATAAAATGCAACCAAAGCGGAATGCAGCGATTTTGTATCTTTTTCAAGTTTCTCTCAATTGCTTACTTTATTTGCTTGACTGCCTGACTGACAACCTGACAAACTGACAAACTTCAACTTCTGTTAATTAATTAATTATCACCAAAGTTTGGCAATTAATATCTTTCGACATTGCAGGCAGCTGAGCGCGTGTGTCGATGTTATTCGAGATACAATGCAGCGTAGCTGAGCTCAAATGATCACAACAACTACAAATGAAGAAATTTAATTTGAGCTTAAGCCACGTTTTGGAAATATTTTTTAAAAGTCAATTTGATTTTGGATTTCTATAAGAACTTTTTTGTGTTCAATTTTAGACAATTTCAACTGGTTTGCGCTTGACACTTTGTATCTTTTTTAATATTGAATATTTTGGTTTTTAATTTATTTAAAATTCCAGTATAATAAAAGCCATATACAACATATAACACACAAAATATAGAATTCAAATCGATATGAAAATAATAATAACAAGTCAGACCGCATTCAGAAAATGTTTTGTCGTTGAAAAAATCTTCTGAAATAATTCGATACCAAAAAAGATGTACCCAAAAAGATTTTAATTCATAACTCTGCTAATTTGGAGTTTGTATTTGTTGTAAAGATTTGTGTAGCTGCTGTTACCGCTTTTGGTGTCATTGATATTAAAAGCAACTTTTTCCTTATCCACCTATCACAACATCACAACAGAAAGATTTCTCGCGTCGAAATTTCTATCTGATGGATAGAAAATCAAAATCTTTGTGATTGCTGCGCTTTCATAGCAGAATAGCAGAATAGCTGAAAAAGATAAAAATAGCAGAAAAATCACCTTTACGAATTTACAAACACATAAATTCATATTTAAAGAATAAGCCAATAATTTATGAGCTACAGTAAAACACAGAAAATTACATCAGCTACTGCATTTATACGCGCAGATACTCACTCCAAAGAAAAAAAAGCAAAAGTATCTCTTCCAACTTTCACGTGTGGCGTGCTAAGATCTGGAAGCTACTTTGTTTCAAACTCGAATTAAATTTTTATTATTTTGTTAATTATTTTGAAATTAAGTTTGACTTAAATTTCGTAATTTTATTCGATTGTCAAAGAAAAATTATGCTTTCAATATGAGTATCGCGAATTCTTAGCTTAGCAGCCGGTTTCTGAGAATTTGTATCTTTCGAGTGGTGCTTGAATTGAATTTTGTCAAGTTTTTGTCAAAGCGTGGCTTATGGTTCAAAATGAATTTAATTAGCATAAAATTAGTTAAATAACAATTTTATTGCAAAATATGCTTTTTATATGTGACAAACAAAAATATAAATAATAATTCTTTAAAAGCATTTTATGTTTATAATCTTCAAAAAAAATGTGGATTAGAAATTTTAGTTCAGCTAATTAATGCGAGATACATTTATTCACTCCATGAGAAGGTTTTTTGTCTATAGAAGTTGTACTTCGGATATAACAAATTTTTATACCGAAAACCAATTTGTTAGAATCTTGTGAACAAGAATCTAGTTTCGTTAGATACTCGTGCATTCTTAAAAGTACTCCTTAGATTGCATAGATTGTAGACTGTATATTTAAACATAAATTTATATATTGGAAATTAACAATAACTGTTTTAGGTAAGTCTATTCATTTTAGAGTAGTACAGAGTATAAGATTCGCCGAAGAGGGGGTATTTTAGTCCGTATACTACATATCAATGTTAGAGAGTCGGACACACCATATCGACAACTGTCGATTTGACAGTGCATACAGCATTCCACCTCCCCACCACAAAAAAAAAACAAATTCATTTTAGAGTAGTACAGATATATTTTGAAATTAGTGAGGATCAGAACCTCGATGAACTGTAGTGTCTTAATTTTTGTGTTTGAAAACCCCAGAAATTTCTTCAATTTCGTTCATATTTCCTTTGGTCGAGTAATGCAAGAAAAACATCATTGGAAATTAGACATTATTACATTACCGAATTTCAAGGAGATTAAAAATTGATAATATATTATCTTCTAGTAAATTAGAAGTACAGAAGTATTTATTTGTCAAAATTGTTTTAACTGAACAATTAAAGTAAAAGGAGCTAATAGCGTTAATGTTCGATTTATTATATTTTTCAAAAAAAAAAATATCGTTTTAAATGTGTTTTAATAGAAGTAAAAATAAAGATTGTTGGCTCGTCAACTTTAAAATTTTAGATGGAAATAACTCCCTGCTTCATTTTCTTTAAAATCTTTTATAATTTATTACTCTCAAATGAGCGAACTTTTGAACTTTTAAAAATTAACAAATGGTGTATAGTAATTAGCCTTTAACTTTAAATACACATCACTTAAGAATTCATGTTACTGCACTCACGCAAGCAGTTAGTACTCAAAGTAGCTTATAATTACATAAAAAAAAAAATAAGTTAATCAAAGAACCAGCTAGCGGTACAAAAAAAAACGGAAAAATTAAAACCCTGATACATAAAAAGCAAGAACTTATCTCACAAAATCCTTAGAACATGCTAACTTGCAGATATTTTTATGTTTAAATAGAATGCAATATACAAAATTAAGTGCCAGTTAACAGCACTAAAAACACTATAAATTAAAAAAACAGCACGAGACATTTTTAACGAATATATGAACATAGTTAAACAAATTGTGCGAATTCTCTTCTTAACCATAAGAAGCTCTCACACAGTTTGGAAAGTAAATTATATATAAAAATATAAATGTATATATTACTGTATTTCATCAACTAATTTCATTATTTGCCTTGAATTCCTTTTTAAGGTATCAGAAGTTAAATATTATTAAACTGAATTTAACTTTAATTATTATTACTTAAAGAGTCAAACTTCCACTCAATGTTCTACAATGTACTACTATACATTTATTAAGAGCACATTTGTATATTTTTAATTTATTTTATTAAAGTACATAAGTGACTTGTATGGAGCTGATATATTAGAAATAGAAATATCTCCCAACACCATTCATACACGTGAACTTTATGTTTTCATCTTTATTGAAAAGTTGAAGATAAAACAGTCCTTCAATTAATAAAGAAGAAACTTGATTCTACTTGGATTTCACTTTTACTTCGCCAAGTGCACTTCTAGTTAATTTGTATTAATTAAAATAATGCGAAGGCGCATAACCTTTAAAAACTTTTTTCATACTAAAGAAGGATGTAAAGGATATCAAGTTACGTGTATATATATTTCGGCTCCATATTTTCTAGTTGGGCTTCTGTGATCGTTTTAATGTAAACGTTTGCTTCAACATTTCCAAAAAATTGATTACCTTTAAGGATACCTAAATGTAAAAGGATAAACAAAGAGTATCATTTAACCAATTTGCGGATGTATCTCTGTATGTGGCCGGGTGTATCCGGGTGTGTCCGGGTGTGTGTGACAGAAATTCGCACAGAGACATGAAGTTTGCCAAGTTAAATTATTGTTTTTCATATAAACTCATATAAAAAAATTGGTTTCTATGGCTTTAGGCAAAAATTGAAATCGAATTTTGCTGCGGAAAAACCTTTTCACAATTTCTGTTGGCTTAAGACAAATTAAATAAACATTAGTTTTTTGTTTATATATGATACAGTGTGACAGTATGACAGTATGACAGTGTGACAGCGTGACGCTGTGGAACAGTGGTATGGATGTTAAGTATTAAAAAACACTTGGAAAATATTTCATTTGGACAATTGCAAGAGTGCGATGATTTTAAAAATTGCGTTGGGTTTCAGATTGGTAGAAGTCATTAAAGAATCGTTAAAGGTACAAATTGAAACGCTTTGCAATTTCAGATTTTAGGCAATAGCAACACTGCATTAATCTTAACAGCACACTGACATGACCCCAAGGCGTGACATAGCAGCATTAAAATCGTAACTCATACGATAAAAAAACTCTGAACTGTTGAAAGTATCTCAAATATTTTTTGTAAATTTCTTGAGACTGAAATGTTTTTTTTTACTTTGGCTGTGTACTTACTTATTGTCTCACTTTGCACAGGAACTCGCAAAGGACATCTGTCGTCGCATTTATTTTTACTTCAAGTTATTCTCACTTTGACTCCTTTTGTCACTACTTGACATTGGTTCGCGAGTTTCCCTTGCACCGAAATTTTCCTTTGTATCTTTTGTGGCTGGTTGCACTTAAGCACTTCACTTTTTGTTAACTTGACTTCAAGTTGTTATTGTTTTTATCTGAATTCCGAATTGCGAATTCTGTATTCTGTATTCTTTATTTCATTCCAACTGCAGCCCGGCGTTTGGCTTTATGTACAGCTCCAGTTGTAAGTACTCTTTTATTGTGGAAATTAAGCATGACATGCTCCGGATTTTACGTTTTCCTAAGCATTTGTTTTCGCGTAATGCGGCGTTGTTAAGCTTAATTGTATCTACAATTCAACATAACATTAATTCGCCTACTTAGCAAACACTTCGCGTTGAGTATCTCAATTTGTTTAACATTTTCTTTGTTTTTTTTTTTTTGTATTTATTGTTTTTTCTTTAATATTCACTTGTAATATTTACTCATCGCATTTCACCAGAACTTTTAATGTCCTTAAAAGTTTTAATTCGTTTTCGCGTATGCGTTTTCGTTGTCGTCGTCGTCGTCGTCGTCGTCGTCGTCGTCGTCGTCGTCGTCGTCGTTGTCGTTTCGGGCCCTTAATTTCGTATTCGCAGTTAATACAATTTCATTTTTGGGAAGTGATCCTGCATAAATTAGCTGTCGGCTTACAAGGACTATAGCTGAGCAGGAATTTCAAATTTATGCGGAATTTTCTCTGCCACGAAATTTGACTGGGAAAAAACTTCAAAACTTCTCCTCATAATTTAAAACTAATGTTTAATATTTTTTTTTACTTTAAATGTTCACTTGATTAATAAGTGCGCAGCTTCTTTAAATTACATTGCACTTTGTTTATTATTATTATTAAATTTTTATTTTTTTTTTTTGAATGTATTTTTAAAATTCATTACTCATTCTTATCAATTTTGTTGGACTTAACACTTTTTGTTGTTCTCTGAAATTTTTAATGAAATTAATTTATTTTGTTTTGTTTAATAAAATATTTTCCATTTTTAATGAGTTTAATTAGCCATTAATAAATATTTTGTTAATTTTTTTTAATTATAATATAAATTTCTATCGTTTTATCTTATGAACGTAATATACTCGTATTAATGATAAGTCCATTGCCCTGTGATTGGAAAGCGCCACTACGGTATACGGTATAAAATTGTAATTTATTATTTAATTTTTATAAAAAAATAAACAAATTTCTTATAAGAGAAAAGATATTTCTGCAAATTTCATATTATAAGAGAAATTCCACTAACATTTAAAATCGATGAAAAACAACAATTTCAAACGAAGAACAGCGCTACTGTCATCACTTTAGAGTTACTAAAAAAACACATCATTTTGCTTTTGTGGTTTGTCACTGAACCATTTTATTCATTATTTTATATATCTTATTCTGGATCTATATAAGTGTAGAATATACTAAACATACTTAATATATTCCCATGAAAGAAGTTTGGTACCGCATACCACAACTCTGCTATGGAAACGAGAATATGGATATGCAGAGCACATCTTTGAGAGCATAAATGTTATAAACATGTTATTAGAAATTATATAAAATCTGATTGATAACTATAGAATAATTCTAAAATAAATATTATGCTATCAGACCTTTTACGTACATTATCTCCATAAGAATGCTTTATATAAGAAAAATGGATGCAAAATATATGAAGCAATTGCAGCACATTATCTAGTATTTCTATAACCAGTAGTTTTTTGCAATAATTTATAAGATTTTATTACCTTATTACCTTTTTTTTTATAATATATAACATATATATATATATATACTGCTATTGTAATCTAAACGTATGTCGAAGTCAAAAAGGTTTTATATCAAATTCAAAAGTCATTCAAAATTCATTTTATATTATTCTATAAACGCTTCAGAAATACATTAATTAAAATTAGACAGGTTACAGGCCTCTCGGGAAGGTATACAGATCTGAGGTCAGTTATTGCTTAGTCTGATGAAGTGATAAACAATAATCCAGTCAAGGTGTAGAGAGAGGGGTTATGAAGAAACCTCGCAGGTAATAGAGAGTAAAAGTGTCCTCACTCAACTAGCCTCAACATGATAATAATGGGGAATGTAAAGACATATTTTAAAGCAAAGGATAGAAGCGACATCCTTCTAAAAAAAACAATGCAAAAACTTCTTCTCTCTTAATAGCTTGTGTTAATTTCATATCTGAAGAGATTTAATGAATTAAATAATTATTTAATATATCATGTATATATGATAAATTCTTTTAAATAAAATATTTCTGTTTATTTATCACAATTTTGGCAAATGGTACTTTTATTTTCATTTTGAATTATTTCTATTCTATAATCTCACTGAAACTGTTTTTGTTTTTGTTGTTGTAATTTTAAATTTTTGTGAAATTCGATTAATTTTATTTACATTTTTAATTTTTCATTTTCAATATATTGTTTAGCTATTTCAATAATCTTGAGTTTTTTTCTTATAATTACTTTTGAATTTTTGTATAGTATTAATGTCGATAGTAATCAATGGAAATAATAACATATTATTATGTTATTATTTCATTGACATAATTAAAAAATATTTACTTTTTATAAAAAAAAAATTGATTTAATTCACAAATTCTGAAGTTAATTTTACAACATATTTTTATTTAATAAAATCTTATAATATTGTGTTCAATAATATTGAGAACAAATTTTAATAATTTTATTATTAATAATTTATTTTATGAATAAGTGAAGTAGCTCATTTATGGTAAAATAATGCTATATTTATAAAGTATATATTACATTTAATTTTGACTTTTAATTTATGTTTAGTTTTCCTTTCCACTTTGTTTCTGATACATTTATATAGCTTATATTAATGTAATTATATTATAATCAAGTTGTTGTAAAAATTATTAAAACTTTCCATTTATTATTTTCTGTGGCATACATTTTAATAAAGAATTCTTCACTTGCTAAGTCAAGTTAATTATAATATTTATTATTTATAAATGAGAAGTAATTTATAGTCAATTTTAATTTAAAAACATTTTATTTCTATCAATTTTGTTTCATTTTTATGATATCTAAACAAAATCTTAATAACATTTATTTAAATGCATATATTTGATTTAATTAATTTCAATTAATTAATATATATATATATATATTTTTTGTTTTTGATTTCAATAAAATAAAATATTGACTTTTATTGATTTATTTTTTTTTTGTATTTTTGATTTCTGGTTTTTTTTCAATTAATTTTTATTTAGTTAAATATCAGTATAGTTTTATTTTTTGATTTTGTTAAATTAAAAGTTTGATATTTATTATTTTATTGTATTTATTTTTAATTCTGCATTTTTTATTTTGAAAATATTCAAACTTTTGTTGAAAACGTATTCATAAAACTGATAAAATATGAATTTATATTTTTTGAATTGTTTGTATTATTTTAATTATTATTTTTATCTAATTTTATTTTTGTACACATTTATTTTATAGTTTAAATTTTATATATTAAATTTCGCGCACTGTTAATTTTTAATTTATTTAAATATAAGTCATTTTTTTTTGTTGTGATTAAAATAATGTTATACAGCTTTTTTTTAATTACGAAATAATCGAATCAGCCAAAAATTAAATTAATTAAAATAATTAAAAAAAAAAAATTTTGTTGTTGTAGTTTACTACTATTCATAATAGTACTACCTCTTCATTAAGAAATATTTATTAAAATAAACTAAACACAAAATATTTATTACCACTTTTTTAATTGCACGTATTAATAAAATAAAATCAAAACTTAATTTAATTAAATTTAAAATTATTTTTAATTTAGGAAGAACAACGTCAGTCACAAATTCACTCTTAACTGTTAACTATTAAACGTTTCACTACAACTTAAAGTAGCAGCGACATTAAGTTTAAACGGTTAACAAATTTAAATTTAAACAGCGATTAAATTTGTGTAAGAAAACATCCGCTAAATACACAGCCGGCATCAGAATCAGAATGCAGACTGACATTAATGCAAAATTCCGTTTAGAATTCAACATTCCCCAAAAATGCTTCAGACGACTACAGTGCGTCAAAAAAAGCGCCAGCGTTAGCGCCAGCAAAAGCAGCAGCAAGCAAAGCATAGCGAACAATCATTCGCCGCCGCAAGCAGTACAAGTTCAAAGTTGAATACGAGAATTCAAACAAAATTGTTGAATGTCGTTCGGCAACCACAAGCGTTGGCCAAAAAAAGCTGTTGAATGCGTTCGTAGACGGTCTTTTGCGGCAAATTCGCTCAGTACAAGAAAAGGCAGAATGAAGCGAAAAGCTTTTACGCTACATTGAAAGGTGTTAAAGAAAGCTTTTCATTCATAAATTCACGCCATTAAAATGATGAGTAAAACATTTTGGCGCAATTTGGCGGAGGCACGTGCCCCAACGTTCAGTTTTTATTAATTAAACCGTAGATAAAAGACACAGAATGAAAGCAAATATAAACAAAAATTTTATCCATTGAATGAAAAGCCATTTGAGGAGCGAAATAGTAAAGATGTAAATAAAAATAAAGTAAATTAAAAATTAAAAATTAAAAATACGATTTCTACTTTCAAGTTTATTTTTAATAAGTTGGAGATAATAGAAATAATAGGATTTATTTATTATTATTACTATTATTCATTATTCATTGTTCTCATTTAGCCGAAAGCTACGAGCAGAAAGGAATTATTGAAAATTATTGATTACTTTAATTTTGTGGGGCGCAAATTGCATGTAACGCATCAATGAAGCCAATGAGGTTTTTTGTGGACAAGCCCAGAACAGTCAAGAAGTTTCCTAAGCAGTGAATCCAGTCAACCACAAAAGAAATTGTTTTCCAATTTTTACCAATTTTGTGTTTGTTTTAGACAAAATTACGTTTTATCTTATATTCTTTTTACATTTTTCTATTTAATTTCAAATTAATTTTATAAAATACTGTGAAGAAGATGTTGAGATCAAAAAACTCACTAAAAATAAATCTATTGGAACGTCAAGAAAAGTTGTGCCTAAAGAATTTTGCAGAAAATAATTTGAAGTTTTTGTTCTCAAATTAGGAATTCTGTCCTATATAAGAAGGAGTAATTCAACAAAAGCAAAAATTGATGGAATCAGAATCCAAACAATTATAAAAGAAAATAATCAATAAGAATTAGAACGAACAAATTATCTGTTGTTGATTGATTCGAGTTATTATCAAAGAGAATCTTCATTACGCTTTCCGTCGATGAACGGAAACGTGTAGTTAAGTCACATTGGTTACTGTTACGAGAGTTAATCTGCACCAACATCGGCATGCCTTTCTCGCGGTCAAATTTGTAACTTGATACTCATATATTTTGTTGAAGAGTTTAAATACTTTCACCGTCAAGTAATTTTCAACGATGTCGATTCGTAAATCTTTACATATATCTGCAATTCTGATACATCATGACCTATATATATGTTGTGGGACGCTGGAACAGCGCACTGTCCAACAAGTGGCCACACTGAAGTGAAAGATTAGCCGAAGTAGACTACGAAACGACATGTACTTTTTCGTCCTTCGATTTTCGGACGTTGTTATTGAGTTAAAGTTGGACTGGCTTCCGTTCGCATAACTATATCGCTTGTTAATGCAAGCAGCTTATTTAGCTTGGGGTTACCTGGCAAGCTTTTGATAACTGCTTGATTTTCCAGCGCTATCAAAATCTTTTTCTGATACACCTGACAATCCTATATATATATATCATGACACTAGCAATAATTTTACAAAATGTTCTGCAATATTTTTGATGTCTGTCTAGGTAAATTGAGAGATTTTTT